AATAATCTACTTAGAAATATGAAAATTCCTTGGAAAAGGATTTCCAATAAGTGGTTAAATATAATATTCTGTTAATTCAGATATTTTCAGCTATCAAAAACTACCACAAATTACTTGGAAAACTTCTTCTATCTTTACTTCTTTTATCATTTAATTAAAAATAGTAGAATATTAATATTGTGTCTTTTCATACGTGTAAAATAAAATCAAATAGATATAAAATTTTCTCTTTTGTCTAATAATAAACTTAAAATTATTAAAATAAAAATACAATAAAAATAAATTTTTCAATCTATAATTTTCTTAAAAATTTTAATTTTGATAAATACACTCCTTATTTAATATAATCTTAAGAAAGTAATAATAACAAACTTTCTAAAAATTAATTCTCTCCTTAATTGCTAAAATTTATTCTCGCAATTTCCAATAATTGTTCCATTATAGAATCTTCATTAAAATAATCAATCACGAATACTTACTTTCAACTATTTTCATTCAATTCTCGATTTCACCAGATATTTCATCCATTTCGTTGGAAGGTTAAGCACGGATAAGAATAATAAAATAAATTTTCCCGAGTTTTGAATTTCATCTATCCGCGAGAGATATCGTGACGAAACATCTTTATCTTTTCCCCTAGGCGTGAAACACAGATGAAAGAAAATACGTGGGATGACGAATCGTTGATTAGGACGCGGTGTGTTTCTTTAATCTGTTTTAAAAACGCCTGAAAATAATCCGAGCGTGACGCAAGGGGCGTCTGGATTTCAGGAACTCCTCGAAATCACAAGTGTCCCAGGGAAGAGGCGTGAAAATAGTCTCGAGTTGGAAAAAATGAATGAATTTAGGATTATTTCTTCGAATTTGAAACTTGATTAAAAGTTAAGTTTTTATTAATTGTAGGTAAAAGAAGACAAGATTTTTTAGATTCTTATTTTTGAAGAAAATGGAATGATTGAGATTTACTAAAAAGGATAGATCCTTTGAAGATATGTATACAAATATTATATTTTTAACTTAAAATTTTATTTTGAAACAATTTTGATAATATTTTGATAATTTATTTTTTATCCAGAAAAAAAGTATAGTATAATTCTTGTCTATTCAAGAATTTCGTAACGAATAACATGGTTTTTAATTTAGTACGACATTCAACATCTTGCTCGAAATTGTTTACAATAGTTACAAAGGAAAGCTTAAGATTAAACTTAAACTTATACAGTTAGATGAAACGGACAAACAAATTTCAATAAACAAGTTTCTCAGGAAATGTAAAGCCAAACAAAGTTGGCCGAAACCTGAATCCAGTTTGCGAGTTCATAGTCCTTATCATAAACATTAAATTATTATTTCAAGCCAAGTATTCAACTCTAAAGAATCAAGACTATACATAGAATTAAAGAATCATAAAGAGAATTAAAAAAAAATAAAGAAATCTTTTCTCTCGTTTCTTTAAAATATTAAATGAAATATATTTTTACAGATTCATGGATACTCTAATTAGTATATTTATTATTTCAACAACGGATGTAACAAACGGTGCGCAATGTTAACACGATATGAAACTGTTTTAACTTTCAAAATACATTTTCTCCCGCCCGAGTTGAGCGTCGCTCGTCGAGAATCGGTATAGAGACGACATCTGGGTTTCTAGAGCTTTGGTAGAGCGAACGTTCTTCGTGGGCGGGCATTGCTGCCAAAACAAAGCTTTTCTTGGCTCAACGGATAAACAAATTTTCGAGAAAATAGCCGAGTTTTCGCGATTCTTCGCCCATATGAAAATATTCGACACGTTTTAAACGTTTCATCGTTCACCTATATCTCTTCGTCAAAGTTTTCTTTCATCCCTTATCAAACTTTCTTCTTAGAATTTCATTCTCGCGCTTTCCTATGAAAAATTTTAGGATTATCGACATTTTATATTTTCCATTTTTCGTTATGCGAAATATTTAATTCTTTTGGATATTCGGATAATAGTTTTAAAAGTATCTTTGTTTTCTATTTTTCTTTTATTAATTAATATCAAATTTTTTAGGATAGTTAATAGTTATGAATTTATTAATTTTTATTGTTTGAGTTTTAGCGTTTTAATAAACATACTTTCATTTTTCCTTAAATATTCTGTTCTATTTCTATCAAATTACGATATTAAATTATTTAGAAATTTTGAATTCGAGTTTCCTATTATTTCATATAGATTTATACTTAGTTTAATAAGATTTATAAACGTTTATAATCAATTTCAAAATTTCACAGAATTTATGAATTTTCTAAAAGTTAATAAATCTCAAGAGAATATAGCGTTCCTATTGACCACTGACAAATTTTCACGGAAGAATATCGGACACGATTCTAGAAAATGTAACGTATGTTGTCTAAATCATCCTTATGATTCGAATATCTTTCTCACATCGCACGAACACCATTGAACACTGCTTACATAATCAGTCCATTTACGACATATTTCAATCTAAAATGTTTATACAATATATAACGCACGTTTATTCTCCTCAAAATTTCAACATTACCCATATTGATACTATAAATCTGCATGTAAACCCACAACAAACGTATTATTTCTAACTTTGTGTAAATGTAACAGACAAAAATAGAAAGAAAGAAAGAAAGAGAAAAGAAATCAATATACTCACCGTCATTAGAATCCTTCAGTCAATTGTTTAAAATAGTGAAGAGATCCATTTGAATCACTCGTATTTTACACGACTTCGAAAATTCCACTCTCGATCAACATCAAACTTCGATAAATATTTTCGCGAATTAAAGACGAATTCGAAAAATTCGATTTTTCTTTCCTGCAAATTTTTTTTCTTAACGCAACATTTTATACTTTCTTTTTCTTTTTTTTTTTTTGCTATTACACAAATTTGAACTTGATATCCGAGATAATTTTTTCAAAGAGAATTGTGAGATAATAATAATTATTAAATAAAATTCGCGATTGAGAGAGATTGAATGGACTGGAACTGCCGGACAGCTGCCGGCCAGACACGAAGTTGGCGCGTTTGGCTAAGTTTCGAAAATAGTTCGCACCGGATTCGACGATGGTGCGTCTATTTGTGGCGGAAAAGAACTGATCGAGCAGTGCTGCCAACGCTAGCGGGCGAAACTCTCTAACAAGCCTAGTGAGAACCGTTTCCCTTTTCAAAAACATCTCTGTTCTTTTTTTCCAAACGATTTATTCGAATTACGTTTTTTTTTTTTTGAAATTTCTTCTTTTCATTTTTTTCGATAAATTCCTTCTATCGAGCGCATTATGTTTTATTATTTATATTTTTTTTTCCATAAGAATTCTCTAACATTCTATTCTTTTCAATTTTTCTTTAACAGATATAAATTAAATGTTTATTTCACTATTACACTATTTGCTGTATATACGTGTTATATTTACATATTATTCACGATTATTATAATTATTTAAAATATGAACCTTGTGAATAAAGACGTGAATCCATAACTGAAATCATACTTATATATCAACATGACTGTTTCCAATAAAAATTTATCGCTTATTGCGAAATCGATGAGGAACATCTCTGAACAACACTAACATTTACCAACACAGTAATCCGATAATATCATAAATCCTTTACCTTGCTCCACTTCGGCGTTAATGTGAATAGTCCTCAGTCTAAGCTCCTCGTTCTCATAAATCATCCCCCTCGAGGATTTCCGGTCGAGTTTCCTGTTCGGTTTCACGCTGCAATCTCTGCGCCTGGTCCTCAGCATCCCGGCCCCGCCAACACCGGCAGTAGTCGTCATCATTTTTATTAATTTTCAACAACAAAAATCTCACGATCACAACAAAAAAAAAAAAAAGAAAAAGAAAAGAAAAGAAAAAGAAACGAAAAATATCACTTCAACTAAATAATTAATTCGTCTATTTGTTACGTTTGTATCATCATCATTTTCTCGAAATTTGATTATCGAAATCGAGATTAGAATCACTGTCCTAGATACAGTTTTCCTTTAAAGAAACACAAAGGAACACTATTGGAGAAAATTGCGCGTTTAGGCTGATTTTTTATTATATGAGTGGTGTTAGCCTCTTTACGGTCAACTGTTAACTTCTTTCCAACACAGGATGGTTTGTAACTCTCGTGGACACGTTGGAACGTATTGCGCCATTAAGGAGCGAGTTTAAAGTCATGGAAGAAGCGTTCAAGTGGCGTTTAATCTCACGTGAAGCTTTTAAAATTGGATTCTCGGCGTTGAACTACCACCTTCAGATTTCCCTCTTTATGGGCTCCTTCCCACTCGATTCTTCTTCTTTCGAACTTCTTCCCTCGGGTCGTTCTCTCTTTTTGAAAGATATTTGGAGGAGAGTTTTATATTTTACCCCTAAATTTATCTCCTGCAATCCTCTTTCTTCCCACAATTAAATACAAATTTTCCTTTCAATTCCAAATCCTTTGTCTCAAAATTCTTTCTTTCTTCCCTCTTCATCCTTCATTCCTCGATCGATTAAGAAAAGAGCTCGCATCGAAAACTCAAGGAGTTATTTCCAGGATAAAAAATTGGAAACTCGAGGCGCGGGAAGCAAACGTTCCGCGCCTCGCCCGAAAGGATTTGCATCGTCCGTACGTTTATCACGCGCTCCTCCACCGCTCCTGCAATTTGCCTGCCCATTATTCAACCGTTTATCAGCGTTTTCGACCGTCCACCACCCCTCCCTCCACCTCCCCTTTGTCCTTGTGTGTATTTCTTTCAATTTATTCGCCCGAGGTTTTATCCGGTCGCCGCGATCTTCCTCTTCCCGGGGCTCCTCCCTCGCTTCGATTCTTCCCTGCCGATTTATCCGCGCCGCTGATCCGAATTTATCGCGGCCGAATTTTTTCTCCCAAGGGTCCAACGTGTTTCTAGGTTGCAGTGAAATTTTGCCTCCACGAAGGATCTGTTTTCACAGGGAATCCTCCTCGAGATCCTCTCGATGGTGTCTCTCTCTTTCCTACGAGAGGGGAGGATCTTTCGAAAGATTGAAGATGGATTTTGAGAGGGGGTTGCTGGCTTCCTCGTCGTTATTTTTGTCGGGCAAATTTCTGACGAACATTTTCTTTGAAATTTTTTTATCGTAGATGGATTGTGGATCCTTGGAGTTTTTTTTTTTTTCCCCCTTCTTATGAAGGAATTTTTTTAGAAGAATGGAGATGGTAATATTGAGTGGTAGATGATTATTATTTTTTTTAATTAATTCTTTTTAGCTTTAGATTCTTCAGATGTTAAGAATTTCGCTCTTCACTTTCTGCATAGATTTTGTGGAGGGTAGATTTGTTTCCAAACTGTGTCGTTCCTCTGAAAAACGAAACGAAATATTAATTTCTTGAAATTTAAACATTTTATTTAATTGAAACGGATAATGATATCTTATTGTGAAATTTTTAAGTATAGTCGAGAAGTATAGTTAAGAAAAAAATTATTTCACGAGTGAAACGTTTGTTTCGATTTAAACAGCTTATTTCATGGAGCGTTTACTACGCGAATCCGATCGAATCCGAGAATGCAACTGAATAATTTGGAACTAGCTAATCAGTTTAATACCAGAAATGCAACAAATTGCTTTGATGATCCAAATTGTAATTCTTGCATGTAACGCGTAAGCCTGCAAATGCAATTAAATTCGAACGCGTTTCGAAATTAGTAAAATGTTATTAAAGTTGAATTTGAAAATTAATTATCATTATCATTACGGAGATAGTGATTGTTATGTGTAATTGATTAAAAATATACGGTCAATCCGGATTTAAAATTCATTATTGTATTTTTACAAAAATTAATTAAATCTTCCTTCAAAACGAAGAAAACGAAAAGCAGAAGAGTAAGAAAGGATTTTTTCACGAAAAATTATAAAATTGTATTGTAATGTAATCGAAAAGAAGTATTTACAATTGAAAGTTTTAAGATTATAATATTTAATTTAGAATTTCTTTAATTCGATTCACACTACATCATATATCTATTATTAATTCGTAGACTTGAAATCAGATTACCTAAAAACTAATTTAATTCTTTCTCTATTCTCACAATTCAATTATTTTCAATTTCGTCTACGATCAATTCTACTTTTTAACAAAAACACCAAATGAACGATTAATTATCACGTTGAAGCGACCAGTGCCAACGATAAGAATCTTATTTCGCGAAAGAAAGCAATTAAAAAACAAAATAATTAAACCAAAATATAATTCTTACATCCCACTTCATATTTCCATGCGTATCTCACATCATACGAAGAAACATTATTACAAAAAGCTTTTCGCTACTAGGCACTTCGCGTATCCACCTCCCTTGCCCCGAAAAAAAAAAGAAGGAAAAAAAGAATTGTATTCACCACACAAAGAGTTAAACACTCGTTGTACCGAGTTGTGGAAAACATAACTACAGACAAAATCGAATGAACATGCGTTCAAAGGACTCCACGCAGACGCCATGAAATTGAAACCCTTCCAGGCAAAAAACCAACCGAATAGCATGAGAATGAATTATTCAACGGCATATGGGGGGAGAGGAGGGGGTAGAAAGGAAAAAAAAAAAGAAAAAGAAAAAAAAAAGAACGAGGAAGCAGTGTTAGCAGGTTTACAAATTTGGTATCTGGAAAAAAAGTTCGACAAAAATTCGAGATTCATTCTGGTTTCCGCGCGAACTATTCTGAATGATGGTCTATTAACACATTCAATGCGGTATCAAAAAAAAAGAAGAAAAAAAAAAGATGGGAAAAAATGCAACGAAAATGGCCGTGCATACCGATGACAATACTTGTGTTGAACACGTATTCAAAAAGAAAATCGATAGATAATTCTTTTTTCATTTTTTCGAAAAGTTCAATCGCCATGAAGTGTCAAGATATTGATGAATGAAAATAAATGAAACTTCTTTCTGTCTTTCCTTATTAAAAGATATTATTATTAAATACGTAATTAATGGATTTACGATTTTTAACATAACATCGTTCAAATATAAATAACGCAAATAGAATCAGTGAATACAATTTTTCAATAAATTTATTTTTATTACGATTTATTAGAGTTATTATATTCTCACGTGTCTAATAATAATAACTTTGAACAAGGAAAAAATAAGAATAATGGTTAACGATATTTCAATAATACCGTCAATCATTGAAAAGTCGATGATACAATATCGATGATCAATGGTCACAATTCACGTTTGTTTGCAAATAACAAAAGTATCGTGTCCACTCTAGAACAGTGCGGCATTACAACAGTGTCTGAATTCGCAAACAGATTCTTTGACGCACTGTTTCTCGAATAAATACTATCCACTGTTCGCAGACAAGTTCACTGTAACTTGTTATTTTTCACCGTGAAGTGTCCACGTTCCCATGCTCTCTGAAAACAAGCGTGGACGTGGCATAACGTGGCTCAACCAAAAATTATAATGCCGCGTTTGCATTGGCCAAAAATCGCGAGTATCGTACGTTTCACGAACAATTCTGAAAAACACCTTGCAAACTGATCTCAGCGAGTATGCATTAGATGCATTCGCTTGTATCTCGGAGATATGAGTGGAATAGGAAAATATTTTCGACGAAGAGCGTTGATATAATGTAAATCTATGCTTTGAAGACCGTTTTTGGCCTTGATTCTTCTCTCTCCCTCCTCTCTCTCTCTCTCTTCTCTCTCTGTGTGTAGAGTCTGCGACACGAGATCAAAGAGAAAGAATGGTGGAGGTTGCGAGAGAGGCAGAGAGTATGAAAGCACAGGTGCGTATCGTTGTGTCGTTCGTTTGTGGGTTTGCCGCGTTTTTGGTTTGGAAAATGGAGGGATTGAAGGAAGCAGAGAGTGAGGGAGGGAGAAAGAGGAGAAGGTTTAAAGGCGGTGGATGGGGAAGAGATTTTGGGATAAAGAAAGAGGGGTAAAAAAAAAAAAAAATAAGGCGGAATGGAGAAAAGTGATTGAGAGATAAAAAAGTGACCGTCGTGATGAAGGATCGAGGAATATCGAAAATGAGAAATTTAAATTGCATTTTTTAGTGACATTATTTAAATCTTCGTTTTATAAATACGTACGAAATTTTCAAGCAAACAAATGTTTTAAGATTTTTGAGTCATTGTGTGTATGACTAGGAAAGAGAAGGTAATGAAGAATTAAAAAATAAAATATTATAAAAGGAACAGTATCTTACAATAAAGGAATAAAATAGAAATTGGAAAAATAGAAATAAAGATGAAATGAAAGTGTTAAAGAAGAAAGAAGGAAAAGGAGAGATAAATATGAAATAATAAAGAAAATGATTAAGAAAGGTGTAAAAGACACGTGAAAAAAAGAAATGTAAGATAGTGAAATACTAGAAGAAAAAGAAAATAGAAATGAAGCAGATATCTCATAGGATTTAATTGGAAAAGATAAGCTGGAAGAAATACCAGGAAATGAAGAAGAAATCTTAAAGGGAGATAGTTTGGGAGACACGAGGATGAAAATAAGAAAAAGGAGGGAGGAATAAGATAGGTCAGTTTGGGACAAAGGAAGATAGAGATAGAAATGACGTTGAATAAAGAAAAATTAGCGAGAAAGAACCTAAAGAGGAGAGAATTGAGGAAAATAAACGTGAAAGAGAAGAATGCAGAAAGAGACATTAATAGAAAGTGAAATTGTGACATAGAGAAAAGAAGTCCAAAGAAGAGGATTTTAAAGAGGAGAGATCTAAAAGAGATCTAAAAGCTTGAGAAATTACTCAAAGAAAAAAAATCAAAAAAAATCTGAAATAATTTATTAATTAAAATCTCCGTAACATAAAGAGACTTGAAATGAAATTTAAAAATGTGAAATACTAAAGACAAAAACAGAATTATAATAAAATGATATTACAGAGAATGAAAAAAAGAAGAACTCCAACAAAAACAAATTGAAGCTTAAAAAAATCCCAGAAGAAAAAATCTAAAGGATCTAAGGATAAAAAAAACACTTAAAATAAAGTTTAAAAACATGGAGTAGCGAGGAAAAAATCAGAATTATATGAAATGTTTCAAACATTTGGAATGGAAAGGAAGAAGAGGCCTGGAGCAAAAACAAGTTTAAAAGAGGAGGGAAGAAAAAAAATCAATGAGAAATAGAGGAACATTAGAAGAAACCGTATGGGCAGATCAAAAGATACGAGAATTCGAAGCTGAAGAGAGGTTGAAGAAAGATCTAGAAAGAAATAGAAGAATTAAAAGAGAGGGATGCAGAAGAAGTGTTCTTCATCTATGGAGGGTAACTCGTAGAAGAAGAGTAGGAGAAAACCTAGAGAAAGAAGGGTCAGAGACTAAAGAGATTAAGGCATGGAATCCTAGAAAAGGGGGAGCTCAAAGAGACGTACACGCGGATTAAGAGGAAAGGGGATCAAATGAAGAGGGATTAAGAGTCAGAGATTCGGAAAAAAAGAAGCAGTGGTACACAGAGGATGGAAATGGAGATGTAGCAAGCATAAGAATAAAAGAAAAGAAAGGGATGAGAATGAATCAGAGATTAGAATGAAAATATGAATATTATTCGACCGAGGATGGAGGGAAGAAATTCATTTAAAAAGTTATTATTTTATAAAAAAAATATTAATATTGAAATGTTCACAATTTTAAAATAAATGAATAATTAAAGTAAAAAATTTAATTAAATTCGACAAAGAAAGTAAAAATCAAAAGAATTATTAAAAAATATAAAAAAAAATCTATTACATATAGAAAAGTCTGGACACTATAACATAAACATTAAAACGAGGAAAAGATCTAAAAGATCGAGAGGAAAAAGGATGAAAGGAGATGAAAAGCAAGAAAAGAAAAATATTGAAGAAAAATTCATCGTACCAAGAGATACTTTGCAATTGGCTTATAAACTTGTTCATAGCTGTTTCCTCTGTAATTATTTTGAACTATCTTGGATACCGTAATTAGAAATTGCAAGCTTTTCTGGTGTGTTACGATTATAGTTGCATCAGCGGAAACAAGGTTAATTTGTTCGAAGAAGCATGCTTTGCATGTTCGAATATGTTTGTTTGTTCG